AAGTCATACTGTCTGCTCATCGTCCTCTTCTCCCTCCAGCACCACACAGTGATAGAGCATCCCTGATTCAGTAGCGATCACCAAGATGTTGGGCACACAGGGCAGGCAGAGAACAGCACATGCATCATAGCCATAGTTGTCTTCAGCTGCCGGGTGCATGGGCAGTGGACCCAACAGCTTACCAAGGTTTCCAGAGCTGAAATGAGGATGTGCGAGTACTTCTGTAAGTGACTGCAAGATCAAATAGCTTCCCATGTTACCTACAATAACCCTCTGAGGAACAACTGAAAAAAAAATATCAAAGAACAAGAGGTAATAAGAATAGACCCATTTTTCCATGTCGTTTCACTCAGGAGTGATCCTACCTTGAGCAGAGGGTTGGACTCATTGATCTCCTGAGGTCCCTTCCAGCCCTGCTATTTTATGATTTTAAGTCTGGCAACCCAACCTGCAGTCCAGTGAAATGAAAGTCAAGGACCTGAGCTACTTGCCCTACAAATTGCTTATCTGTTGACTCCAGTTTCACCTTTTTCATAGAAACTAAATTTCTATTTTTGCATCTCCAAAGACACACAGGCTCGACTTCCTAAAGATGGCAAAAGAGTTTTGGTTCTGTGAAGCACTGGCACACCAGCTTCATCAAGACAGGCTGAAACTTCCCAAGATGTCAGAGCCCTGCCACATGTTCCAATTAAAACTGAGAAATCAGCTATAAAGTTGTCACACATTTTCAAGCACTAACTTCATGACTGGTTGGCTCTTTTTATAGCTAGATGGACATTTTTATGGCATGCTAATTACTTCACACATGTGGCCAATCTAAAGTCATTGCACAATTTACCAGTGAATTGCATAATGTATGTAACTTGTAACAGAGGCTTAAGAGTTAATACTTAGAGCAGCTGATTTTTTTTTTATCCCAAATTTAACCCTGTTGTGTCCCTTAGCTATTGTAGCTGCCTCAACTAAACAACTAGGCCGATTACCTTCATGGTTGTACAGACTCAAGTGTGTAGGCCAGCTATTACAGCCACACAATTTGGGCTGCCCTAGGAGATAACCCATTCCTGACGGGAGTCAATCTGAATGAGACTTGGTACAAACAGACGAGTGCTATATACAGGCCAGGAAGCAAAGTTTTCTATTTGACTTTTGGACCCTACCTTTGCAGTAGGTTAACGTATGTAAGGAAGGTCTCCCCATTTTCATACAATATGTACAAGGGATATGCCAACACTTCCTCTTTCCCCTCCTCCATTCCCTCGTGGCCCAACCACATTCTTTGGAACAGATGTAATCGGCCCAAAGTCGAACGCCACTGCAGTCTCTCCCAGTGATGCTCTGTAGGCTCTCCTACAAGTGGGAGACAAATGGATCCAAAGTTATAGACAGTAGTGACTGTCCATGCAAAAGCACTTCTCCTCACATGAAGTGGCACTTCCTGTTGGATAAATGCAGTTATGCTTTCAGCCTTTTAGATCAGACCTTTGCCAGACAGTGCCCCTTCCGCAGTAGATACCCCAGCACAGGCACTTCTGCTCTTCTCAACAGAGCCCCTGGGATCATGTCAGAACTACGTCAGAAACAGGGGGCTCTGATTGGTTGTTTCAAGGAAAGACAGCATGTAACACCCTCCTCCCTCCCCTCTCCATTGTGCCCAGTAACATCTCATCTCATCTCCAAAATACTTATCTGCATAGTATTCAAGAGTGGTGAGAATGCCTTGGTGCCATCAGTGTGATGCTAATCCATGGCTTAAGACAGTGGACATCAAATTTTGTCCCTTCAGCCACGCCAGAAACAAGTAAAGAAAAAAGTTCTTCCCCAGAAGCCGTTCTTGGCTGTTTTTAGCTGTACTGCTTTAGAAAAATTCTCTTTTGTTGCAAACAGGGGTCTGGACAGAGCAGTCCTCAGCTGGCTCTAGAATGCTGGGGTGGGAGTCCAGCCAGCATGAAGCAGAGGAGGGGGATAGTGAGATGAGCCATGGCAGAAGGAGGGCAACAAGTGCCCTGGCATTAAGTTATCACATCACAGCATTTACACTACCCTGTCATCAGTCAATTTCCTATTTGGTACCTTGGGGAGCATCCCTTCCTAAGAGAATGTTAAACTGTTCATACCCTTTATTGACTACCGAGGTCTCCTCCTCAGACTCTGAGAGAGCAATCACCTTCACAGGTGTCTGAGGCACTTTCAGACTATAAATCCTAGAAGAAAGAACAAACAGGTTATTCAGTCATTGGCGTTCCATGCAAATCCCTGCTGATGCAAATGCAGAACACCAGCATAAATTTCTTTCACTGTATTTTACATTATGATTCCAGTAAGTATATTTATGCAAAAAAAGGGAGAACAAATGGAAACAAGCTAACCTTATAGTGTTATCTGAAGTCAACAGCACAACATGAGGCTCCAATGACTCGCTGGGATACCAGGCAGCATATTTTAAAGTGAGGGATGCTGAGCTAGTGAAGAACCTTTCAGCAATAGGAATGGTGCTGTAATAAAAAAACAGCCATTTATAACATTTATAAAAAGCAGATAAAAATTAAATGGCTTTTACCTTAGAGAAAAGAAAGACTAATTTAAGTTCCCGGGGGATGTTGACTGTGTAGTATTTAAAGCCGAAGGAACTCCTACAACAGTCATTTGTCACTTTTGTTTGAAAACAATGGTTTCTGTGACTTTTTTCCCCCCAGTTAATTTGTACATTTGACAGCAATGTCTAACTAGATTGTTTCACCATAGTAGGTTTCATCTATTCCCGCCCACGTATTCATCACCCAGAGGTGAAGAATAAAAAGCAACTGCACAAATAGAACAGAGAAGGTCTGAAGGAAAAACCCAGGGTACTAGACCCTGAAGTCTTCAACTAGATGCAACTGTTTGCAGCTTTTACTCCAGAAAAAGAGAGAGTCAGCATTTCGTTTCCTCAAGGCGTGCAAGGACAAGCTGAGACCAGGGAAAGACTGTGCATGTCAGAAGTGAAGGGTTATACCCATCTTTCCATTTACTAATCAGGAGTGGAGTGGCCATGTGTTTTGTACTAATCATGACCAGAAGGGTTTCAAAGAATGTGTGCTATGACAATTAAAACAATGTAAGCCATCATGCTATCAGGATCACAAAACACAAGCAGAAGCGACATTTTAACCTCCCGAAAGAAGAATCACCAGCCAGAAACAACTCAACCGGTCAGCTAAGAAAACAGCAGCAGCAGAGCTGTACCCCAGAGATTCAGCTTTACAAAAACACCCCTGTGCAAACACATCAGTGAGTGACAACCTATTTCACAGCTGCCACACAAATAAGTGAAGGGCCTGGGATTTTCCTCCCCTGCTCTTACACAGCGAGTTCGGTACTAGTGAATGGTGTAGTTCGAATTAATTTGCTCATGATAACGTGCTTTGTGTTTTTCTAAAAAGAAATCAGCCCACCAAGGAAATGGGAGAGTTTCCCCTCTGGTTGTCTCCAAGGCATTAAGAGAAGCCTGTTTAGGTCTGTATGGGTGTTAAGATTACCAACAAGTAGCAAATGGGATTTGCGGCACTTGGTCTATCATCCTACGTCACAAGAAACTTTCCCTGCGGACATAACGATCTCTAGCAAATTCTCTTGCACTGCTCGCTGACCTGACCAATATCAGACCAGGTTAAACTAGATTCAACACATACGCAATTTATCCGTGAATTTACCTGAGAACTATACAGGGCAAGTAGCTCAGATCCTTGACTTTCATTTCACGGGACTGCAGTCCCTTTTATCTGCTACCCCGAGACGGCAGATAAAAGGGACTGCTGCTCTAACGCAGCACAGCAGTTCTCCTACATTGCTTTGCAATTCAAGTACCATGCCCGTTAGAAATAGGATCTCATCCCCACTACTACTGCGTCCAAAGCGAAAACAGCGAGGCTTTAGGGGGCGGGTCTGTCGCACGTACGGAGGTTCGTTTGTCAGCGCCCCAACGGGCTTTCAGCTCGGCTCAGCGCATGTGCTGTACCCCCCTCGCACCGGCGTCACGCCGAGCTCTCCCGCACGCTCCAGCTCTGTACACTAATCGCACGCTTCTCCCACGTCGGCTGTGCTGCACGTGAAAGGCGCCAGGACGGCCCGGGGGGTCCCGCACCGAAAGCGTCGCCTACCTGCAGCTGACCGTGGCTTTCCCCCCTTCGAATTCGGAGTTCTTCCCCCAGCGCTTGGGCAGCTCCACGGCCATCATTCCCCTGGGGCCCACGAGAGCCACGTGGTGCTGTGTGGGGCTGAGCAGCGTTTGAAAGACATCGAAGAGGGGCGGGTTGATGCAGACCAGCGTCTGGGAAGGGAAGCGGGGGAGTTAAAACTCGGCGCCCCAACGAAACGCCGCGCGGGCGGATCCTTCGAGAGCGCCGCGGGCAACGGTCACGAACCGAGGTCACGTCAGAGCTGGGACGTGCGTTTCCCAGGAGCCCAGGCGGAGACTCGCCAGCCCTGGGAGGGGAAGGGGCCGGGCCTGCAGGGGCGTCCCGCACCTGGGAGCGGCCGAGCGCGGCGGGCTCGCACCCCGGCGGGGCCGGGGCCGGGGCCGGGGG